TGAACCATGGCCATGTTTACAACCAACCGTAACAATACTTGTCTTCATCCAGCGGTACCTAATTTAAAGGACCCGTGCCACAAGATAACTGCCGCCACCACAAGCAATCAGCCGCTCCCTCCCTCCCTGTTATGGTCGATACACCACCAGCCTGGCGAACACTTCTGCCGTATCGTACAGCACCTGCAGTAGCGTTGTTTATCTTCGGTGTAGTCACTATTATTTTCCTTCCTTCTAAAACGTTAATAAGCTGGCATTACTCACCACTCATTGACAGATGTTTACAGTGGAGAGAGAGAGAGAGAGAGAGAGAGAGAGAGAGAGAGAGAGAGAGAGAGAGAGAGAGAGAGAGACTTTGCTTATCACTCTCTTAATATGAGGTCAACTTTGCATCAATGTTTATGATGCTAGGAGACGCCAACGTTATGTGAATGGCGAGGCAGATACACAGATAGTAGAGGAGGAGGAGGAGGAGGTGTTGGCGGGTTGTGGGAGGGCGGTAACAGCGGTCGCTCATTAAGATAAAAATAGTAGGAAATCCCTTCGTGACGCAATTGGCGAGTGAAGAGTGGCACTGAGAGGCACTGTGCCGGGGGGGGGGGAGGAAGAGGAGAGGGGAATGAAAAGGGGGGGGACTCACATGCTCGTAGGCCAGTCATGGGTGAGGGAAAGGAAAGAGGGAGAGAATGGAAACAGAAGAGTGGGTGAAGAAAAAGACGGGGTATAAATGATACATTCATGGGGTGGAAGAGAAAGAAGGAGAGGAAAGAAAAGGAGAGAGGGTGAAGAAAAGAAGGAAGAGGGGGGGATGGAACTCACTCATAGACCATACTAGGAGAGGGAGTGAGAGCGGAGTGTGTGAATTTAGATGCTTATGAGGGGCAAAGAGAACACACACACACACACACACACACACACTAGGATCCACGTATTAGGATTGTTTCCACTTGTGAACGTGTAAAATGGATTAAAAATCGAAAATGAATCACCTGAAGATTCACCCACACTTTAATTATGTCACCTGAAGTTTAACCACACTAACGCTATCTGGGAGAGTTGGGTTAGGTTAGCGTTAGGGTGTTTAAATTTCAGGTGAAATATGCTGGGGGCGTAATCTTCAGACAATCGAAAGTTCTTGTTCTAACGCCACCACGTCCCGACACCTCACGTAAAATATAAATGAGTCATATTTCAGTGATAAAACCATATTGTATGACATTTTATGCTAATTACATAACTCAATACATTATAAAAAAATAAAAAAAAATATTCATATGGGTTAGGTAATAACTAATAACATATCTCGAGAAAAAACTGAAATCCTGTAAAAAGATACTAAAAGTGTTAACGTACAAATCATAAAGTATCATAAAAACACGGCTTTACTACCTATCTTAAACTAATAGGATCCCGCTATGACCTATGTGAATGGCTTTTGACATAATAAAACTCACTATCTCTAAAACTATATAAAAATCTTCACACTCAGAATTTTATATAAATGCTCTTACTTGTATTATGGAGTTTTTTTTTTTAGTTTTTCTCTTGATTCTTGACCTTAAAATTAATTTAATTGAGAAAAATTTCCATATCCTTTATAAAACTACTATAGTCTCTCCATAATTATGACAGAAAACAATGTTATGACTATTTACAGAAAACGTAAAATTTAAATACAGTATATATATGTGTATATATATATATATATATATATATATATATATATATATATATATATATATATATATATATATATATATATATATATATATATATATATATATATATAACTTACCTAAATGCAACGAATTCAATACAGTACAATACATGTAGGTTGTTATCTACCTGGCAAATTAACTGTCCTTTGTTAAATCGACTTAGTGTTTACCATTGTAATATTATGTGCCTGCACTGTTTATAATTATGTATGTTGAACTAATGTAGAGTGCATGTCGATTTTACTGAATAAAAATCTGCCCCTGATATGTCACAGCTGACTGGGGAGTGAATTTAATTTACCAGAAACATTTAAAACTCCCAAAAGATAGTAAGATCTCCTATATAATTAGCCCCCAGCTTATTTGACTTGATAATTAACCAACCTAACGCTAACTGGAGGGTTTGGAATCGCTTTCGAGTTTATGGGTCCCTACTCAATCATCTGAACACCGAAAACATCACCATAACATACTAGACACCAAAAAAAAAAAAACACGCATTAAGTAAGTTTTCTACAGTTTTAGGATTTGTTTCGGTTAGGAAGGGTTAAGTAAGGTTTTCAAGGATTTGTTTGATGTTCTTTTTAGTATTTTACCCCACATTTTCCCTCTACTTCAAAGCCCTGCCCACTGTGAGCAACCAATGTTGTTGGTACTTGGGGAGGGGGGGGGGTATATCTCTCCATAAAGGTTCACTTAGGACGGAAATAAACGGTCAGATTAGTTAAAAGCAACACAAAATACACTCGGGAAAATCTTTCTTTTTTGTCGTTTCCGAGGTCGACAAAAAATAGTAACACGCCTTAGTGTAAGAATGTCGCACGAAATGAGTTAATTTTTACTTTATCCTGGTTGGCCCTGTTTGTAGTAATTTGCAACTCAATTCTCTTTGTGAATTAATTTAAAAAAAAAGTTTATATATGGAGGTTCTGATCGCATGTCGGGAGGTCGGGAACTTGATATCGGGAGAGTTGTCAAGGCAGGCCTGAGTTAGGTTAAATCAGGTTAGGATTGGTTAGGTTAGGTCAGGTTAGGTTAAGCTTGGTGTGGTTAGGTTATCGTTAGGGCAGATAATCTTAACATAAAAATAACCTAGGAGTGGGGAGGGCAATCTTCAGGTGATTCGCCGATAACTGGTACAATACTTTCCTTCCTTGCTTGAATCCATTCACTGTTTACCATTGTTCTTATCCTTGTACAGTGCTCACCATGTACACGTGTCTCTAGTGTGTTGGCCAATGTGAATTTAAAACATCTAATTGTGTAAAGATAACAGTTCTACTACGCCATTACTGGAATTTGTTGTTACTGTACAATGATTTTACTTACCTAGTGCATTCTATGTGTCTGTTCTCGGATGGGTTGATTACAAAACACCGCAAATGCCATAGTCACTAAAATAAAACGCTCACAAGACCACGAAACGGAAACAAAAGAATCAACACTGTCCATGACTCGAGTACTTGGCGCCATTTTTCCGACAACATAATTCAGTGTTGAGCCAAATATGATTTTAGAGCTGCAACGAATTTTTTGTCCTTGTTATCTACAAAAATTTGTACATAAAAGTTAGGCTATGTTAGCAGGAAGGACAATCTACTATAATGTATCCACCTATATGCCTACAGTATATACAATAAATATTGTTTCACACAAAACAACAGTAATAGTTTTTAATTATCAGTATTAATTAAACTACGTCCCGGTGTCGACAAACTTATGAGAAGACAAGTGTTATAACCATCACAAACAATTTCTTTTTAGCTCCACCTCTAGACATAATTGTTGGGTCCTCATTATTTATATCCATATCTCGTAATCCAATAAACAGGATGATGGCATCAGTGTTCATAATAGTAAACAGTGTGTTTACCAGTGAGAGCAAGACCAAGGTCATTTCCACAACGCGGGCGCGGGAATATAGTCACTCTGCGCTTAATAACTACTGTTCAAATTTCAACGTTATCGGTCTTTGTCAGACTTACCATTAGATAAGATCAACACTATTGGACTTGTTTACTATTCAACTTGCCAGACAGTATGTTATATATATATATATATATATATATATATATATATATATATATATATATATATATATATATATATATATATATATATATATATATATAATATATATATATATATATATATATATATATATATATATATATATATACTATATATATATATAATATATATAATATATATATATATATATACTGTATATATATATATATATATATATATAACATACTGTCAGGCAATCCTCTAACTAGTTGTGGTCATACCTGATCTCACTAGTATAATACTTAACCTGACTGCCGAGATAGGGCAAACATGGTAATCCTTTAATAATGTAATTTTTATGGTTATGTAAATATTTGCTCTTGTATAATAGTTATATATGTATAATGCTAGCGTTATGTGTGCTATTGTATCATAATTATAATGTCTTTCTCATTGCAGTGTCATGATAATAAAATTAATGTAATATTTTTACATGTCAAAGAAATGTTCATAAGCTGTAAAGAATAAGATAAAAATAATGTTTTTCAAATATCTTATTAATATTTGTCCTGGGGTCTTTTGTCCTAGGATGATTTTGTCGTAAATTTCAACTATAGAAGTGATCTGTAATTATAAACATTTTGGACAAATACCTCAAATCAATAGAACATGTAAATGAAGGAGTTAGACAAGTTGTCTTACACAAATAATTACTTAAAATCGAGGAACATCCAAAATATTATGAGATGCCAACAGTGCGTAAGAGACGTGACCGATCGCTCAAGCGGCTAACGAGCCGATCATTTGGTGAAGAGGATAAGGGCCCATCCACTCCAGTTCTCCACATCAATTGACCACCATGCGGACATGCTAGTGGACTACGTATCTACGCCAAGAAGGACGTCTCCTACCAACCTCTCGACGTCCACCTTGAAGCCGGCACTACCGGCTTTGGCCTGGCACTTGACATTATTAGGGACCTGCCACGCTTTGCCATAAACAGATAAATTGTACCGGGAAATTTCCCCCCCCCCCCACACACTCATCATTCTGTCACTTTATGTAACTCGCTGACAAACCCCATGACCCTTCAGGCTTTTACGCCCTTAATGCGTGAGTCATTAAGGCAGCATGAACACCGCACACTTCCCTGATGGGTACAGTAAACGCTTCTGCGCTTCACCTTGCACAGGATGTAAGGGGGTGCCCAATAAACTAGCTCCCTCCGGGGCAATCTAAAAAAATAAAATAAAATAAAAAGAAAAGTAATCAGAGACGTGACCGATCGCCCAAGCAACTAACGAGCCGATCAGTGGTGAAGAGGATAAAAGTAAAGAAGTGAAACTTGACTCAAGCTGGTATACGTGCAAGCCCGTTCATTCACGTTTGATTATATAAATATACGTTATTGTATCCAGGCTGAAGCACCTAATTGATACAATGAGACATTATCTTGAAATCGCCGTTATTCCAGTTATACCTGTATCTGGTCCTTTATTGTGGTTTGCTGATAAATTATTTAAATGTAAATTGCCCTCCGAACCTGAGTGTCAGCTGTGGTGTCATCAGCTGTGTGCTGCTGTGGTGTCATCAGCTGGTCCCGTCGTCTGCATGTTGCTCCCACGCAGCTTGAGGAGACTGTGAGTACCAAACATCAATAACTTTATCCTTATGATTTTTCGGATAATGTAAAGTTGCTCGTCATTGACTATAGACTATATAGATTTATTGGTAAATTTACATTGTCACACCGTTCACTTTTAGCAAGTAAAAAATATATTTTTCTAGTGTATTTGAGTGTGTTTAGACCGAATATGGCCTTCATTTGTGGCGGAAATTAGCCGGTTGTTTTTAGCGATTTTTTTTTCGTTAGACGTTTTCCGAAAAAAGTGGCTAAGCGACTAAAAAATAAAAAAAAAAAACCACTAGAAAAACAAAAACCAAACCTAACTTAACTGACTCTCACCATATGATGGAATCACCTATTTCTTACCTTATTGGCCTGGTTCTTGTTCGTCGCTGCATTCTGGGATTCTTACCCAACGCCACATATGTTGGTCTTTGCAATATTTACATTCAGTCTTGCTCTTAGTACACTTTACTGAGGTTGGAAGAACACCATGCGATCGAAAAAATGCTATAGTTTCTTCGTTTTTTCCAAAAACTTGCAATCAGCTCCATATACTTTAAGTGACATCCATCGCAGACTTCCATGGTCGGAACTGAACTTGAATTTCAAAATATGAGACCCAAAATAAAACTCGATTTTGATTGGGCCAAATATATTCTGAATTAAACCCAAAACCATTTTAATTGGCTCCAAAACCAAAAACGCTTTTGATTGACCGTGTGATGTGTACGGGTACGCATGTGCGTCATGATTTATGAAGGAGACGCGAGAGACACGCAGTGTTGGGTGAGAGGCAGACGATAATGGAGGGAGGTTAATGGAAGAAAATAGAATTTTTTTTGGAAGAGCTATCTCCGTTATTATACATTTCCGCATTAATACCGATTTATTATTTGTAGGTTCAGTAATCGTGTTTTTAAAACTGTGTAACTATTTGGAGTTAAGCTGAAGTTTATAGCGAAGTAACAATTAACAGACCAACTGGATGACGGCTAGTTAGCTGATAAGTGATGAAATGATAAATTAAAACCTAGCCGTGAGTGTTGCTGCTCACGACAGACTTATAATAAAATATTAGTAGCTACGAATTATATCATTGCCTTCTGAATTTTTTTTACCAACCATTATTTTATTCCAAGCTTTAATTTTCATTTAGGAAAATTAATTTAAAAAATGTTGTCACCCTTATCCTCTTCCCACATGGTACATTTTCAGTAAAGATGAAGGAAATGGTTATCACCCAAAGGAACTTTTGGAATTACACCAATATTTTAAGAGATGTTAATTTCATGGGACTAAATAAGAAAACAATATGACAATGCACAGAACCTAACCTAACCTACAATAACCTTACCTAACTTCCTAACCAAACCTACAATAACCTTACCTAACTTCCTAACCAGGAGGGAGGGAAGGGGATCTGCCCCTCGGATCCCCTAACGGCAGAAGGAACTTACATTAATGGTGAGTTCGTGCAGTACACCGAAACAAATAATTTCAGTTAAATGTCACTTCCCTGCTTCATATTGGACACCTGTGGTGTCATGGTCAACAGGGTGAAACTATGGGCAAGTTTCTATACACCATTTACCTCTCTACCCAGCAGTAATTGGGAACCTGGATGTTAATCGATTTGCGGATCGTGTTCTGCGGTAATGGTTAGCCAGTGCAGTTGGCGAGTTGTCCGGTCTTTTCGGACTATTCCTTGACACTGGGTCATGCAGCTCGTTAACTCAGGGTGTGGTTGTTGTGTTGGCGACAGCTTCTACTCCTTAATCATATTCACGTCTAGGTGGCCCTTGGGCTGGCCATCCTCGTTACACAAGGGGCAACCTTATTACTATTATTATTGGACACTTGTACGTCCTTCCAAAAAGTCCATGATCAAATTAAGTCATTAATGCAGTCTTGATCCTCAACAAGCACAGATAGCATGTGATAACTTATGGATTTTTCCAGTTGACGACGCCATAATTGCATACATGAGACAATGGCTCTCCATGTGGAAGAACAATAACAATAGGAACATACATTTGACTTCAAATCCAATGCAACTCCATATTAAAAAGTAAGGTGTCCAACCCTCTATTATGGAATTCAATCTCACCCATATGATATTGATCCTGTATACTGTACATAGAAATTTTGGAACCTATTGCATAGTAAGGACAAAACATAAAGGATTGGTGTAGACATAGACTTGGAAAACAGGAAATTGAATCCTATAAAATAAGAAACAAAGACAACCAATCCATTAATTATGGTATTACAAACCTCCTATGAGATCCTCAGTTGTTTCTTTTACATGTTGACAAGACTGAATTCACTCCTTTATATCTTATAGCGGACCAGCACGACGGTCACCACAGGAGAATCGACTCCGTCATATTCACGGTAAATAACTTATTTCTTTGCCTACAAAACACAGACATTTTATTACTGCCATATGATAATTTTTTTGCAGTAATTTTACCCTGTAATTTCCCCTTCTTTCACACCCTGCCTGCTATACAGTGGGGTATGCTATAATGAACGTAATTGGTTCCAGAACCGCGTTCGTTATAGCATTTGTTCGTTATAGGATTAATCCGTTCCAGGCCCCCAAATACAACCACTTAACACTGAAAAAATTCTGTGGAAAATGTAAAAAATACGGTACTTTATCTTACCTTAGTGTTATTCAGCATGCAGGTACCCCTAAACACTGGCACAGCACTATCACTTCCACTGGGAGTCTTGGCTTTAAGGTCCTCAAACAATTGTTTAGCCTTCTCACAAATTATAGCTTCACTAATGTTACCACCTGCCATTTCTTTCTCCTTTATCCACACTAAGAGTAAATTTTCCATCTCTTCAATCACATTACACCTTGCTTTGCTAAGTCTAAAGATTCCCTTAGCCACTTGCACTGTTTTTAACTCCCCTTTATTCTTCAAAATCGTACATATAGTCGATTTAGCCATCCCATATTCATCACTAAGTTTCGCAATGCTTCTTCCATTCTCACGTTTCTTTATAATTTCTTTCTTAGTTTCAAGGGTTATTAGCTTTCTCACTCGCTTTGGACGATTCATTGTTACAATTGTATACTTGTACAACAAAATAGTTATACAAATAACGCGAATTTCCACATTAAAAGACGAAATTTCAACAATAACACTGGTGCACTGGCTACACAATGAGACAAAGATGGCGCCTGACGCTCTTGTTGTGGGTCGCGGTACAACAATATTCATGCGCCAGGCGAAATAGTCCCGTATTCATCCGCGTTCGTTGTAGGAGTTGCGTTCGTTATAGCATTCTCAATTTTATAGGTAAAATCGTTCGTTATAGGAATATTCGTAGTAGGATCCGTTCGTTATAGCATACCCCACTGTATATGATTTATGATCAAAGGGCGGAGGAAAATGAGAAGAAAAAAAGATTAAAATTAAATTAAAAAGTTATCGTATTGTTTTTATTATTTACTATCATTCAAACACCACCTTTGGAAAAAAATTACACATTCTTTAAACTCCTTCTGGTGATAAACTATTTCTGCCACTATTACTCAGTTTTCTGTTACCTACCAGTATTTAGTCCAAAAAATGGGATAATATTAAAGATCAATTTTGGACATAAACATTTAATGTTCAACTACTAGTTATGTACGGTACTGGTTTGATAACAACTTCTCTCTTATGTTGAAAACCACAAATAAGTTGTAGGAGCGATAAAGATTTGTTTTATGCCCAACTGATAATTATATTTCTAAAATATTTTTTATTATGTTTTTCATTGTAATTTGAACAAATATGACCTTTATTTTGGGGACTACTGCTTATTTATGGAGACATGACACCTTTAAACTCGCAGGGCTCTGAAGAGGAGGAAAAATGTGGGCTTAAAAACATTAAAAAACAACAATAGAACCTTTGAGAACCTAACCTAACCTAAAATATATGATAACCATATTTATCCGATGGACACACATACACTGATTCTATGAACCTGGTTTCGTACACTGTGAATCATGTTTACAGTTAGTGGATGTGATCTGGATACGACTGAGACACAACAACATTGACGGATGTTAAAATCCCTAAACACATTTTCTCAGATTAATATACAGTATTTAAATCTGCTCCTTTACAAGATTTTCACATGATCTGCTTTGACCAATCAGAGTAGTTTAAATCTCTTGGGAAATTTTACACATGCACAAAAATTTCATCTATCAGTTTTTATTTGCATTATGGCTCCCTCCTGACCTAAACACTGAAAACATGCAAGAGGAGAATCTCTTTTTCCTCTGCGGTTGGTTAAATATTTTTTTTTTTTTTACTTTTATTTTTTTAGAATTATGGTTGGACTTTCCTAGGTTAGGAAAGGTTAGGTCTAGTTTTCAATTTATTTAATTTTTTTTTTACCCCACATTTTCCCTCATCTTCAAAGCCCAGCCCATTTTGTTTAAATCATGGTTGTACAGGTATCCCCCTATTTACGATAAGGTTGCGTTCCTGAAAACCCCAATGTAACCAAATTAACATAAATTGGGATCCTTTTAACATGGTTTTCAATGGGCTATGTTCCTGTCCAACACAGACATACAACACATAAAAATGATCCGACACTAATTATATACAGTAAATGCAAAAAATTAGACAACAGTCACCACATTAATAATAACAAGCCTGCCTGCCGCTTAATAATGTGTAGCTTTGTCTCCAGAGATATGGTCTTCCTTAAAGCCTTGACTTTCCCAGAGGTGGGAGAGTCAGCAGCACACTTGCTAACCATTTTTTTCAAAGTTACTGTACACTGATCACTTCACGGTCACCAAAACAGAGCAAAATCTGAATGATAATGATTTACTATCATCAATAATGGCAAATTATCACAGATTCACAGGTTTGGGTTTCCATTTTGTCACAATAAAAACAAGCAAACACATACAGTACTGTACTATAATTGAAAATCTCCCATCAAGTTCATGTCAGGAAAATGAGTCCTTACACTCAACTTTATGAACTAAGGCATCATGTTTTTTTTGCTTTTACAGAGGTACTGTATTAGACATGGAATACCAAGAGTAGGTTAAGGTTGACTTCAAATACAGTGTTTGATTGATTGAGGACCTATTACCATTTCATACCAAAGGCTCAAGCTGACTACCTCCACCAGTCCAGTTATCAGTCGTCATTACAAAAAATCGCCCTTGTTCTGCAACATGGAGGCTCCAGTACAGTTTAAGGTATGGCAGAGTTGAGGCTTTTGTAATCTCTAACAATTTCTGATTTCAATATTTCAGAACTTGGCTTATTTTAAAGACTAAGGTTATCAGACAAATATTTATTATTCTGGAAAAAGCTTGAAATTTCAAGAGATTGGTCTGAAATTTTGGAGGATTATGATGTGGGTTAAGTCTTTGTCTTTGCATTATCTCTGCTTGGCCATATTTTGTACTACAGTACAATACAGTAGTGTATTTACTGTTTATTTTTTGTAGTGGAACACTTTTAAGTTCTCTAGTAATGGCTTGTGGTGGTGGTTCTGTGCATGGTTCGAGCACAGAGCATCTCAGAAAAGCGGAAAAAATTAGATGTGCTGAGAGTGGAATGAGTGCAACTACTTTAACTACAAAATGGACTAGAAAAGCACTTCTTACATCATTATAATGGGTAAAGTAAAGCTGAGGAAATTTAAAGGTCACTGGGGAAGTGAATATTCCTCCTGAAGGAAGCATATGTGATCAAGGAAATATATGCCATTCAGTACTAGAAAGTGTTGGTTTACAGTATTACTTTCCCAGGATGACCAATTAGGTAATTACAGTTAACTCACATAAGCTTGGAAAATGGCTATAAAATAATGATGCTGGAAGTAATTATCTTGTTTTAGATACTGTAGAGAACAGGGGATTGGCTAATTAGTTGTGCTTGGTGTGGGCTGAGATTAGTAAATAACCTTGATTAAGTTTTAGGGGGGAAGTCTTCAAAATTTTGAATACAAGTGGACCAGAACATTTGTTCATTTCACATCTTCAGTTTTGACTATTTAGCATTCACGGTGATCAAAAATTTATGCAGGTCTATTTTAACACAGTTGGGGTTCAGGTGATTCTCTGTCTAGAGTTTAAGCATGGTGAGGCAGACCTATACTAAAGTAGAGGATATAAAGACATAATTATAAGTCCTCTGTTGTATGATGACCATGATCAAAGAAATGAAACGATGTCAATAAATTAAAACAAAACTGCTTTAATGTTTAATCTTTCTTTTAATTTTCCTTGCTATCTTTTGTAACTGTGTGGGAGGCATGATTGGCCTGGGTGGAATTGCATCTTCCACGGTGACAAAGTTAATACTGAAGCTCTGAAGGAACAACCAGTACAGCATATAGGAAGCAGCCATTATCTATTAACATTTCAAATTATGGTGTGAAATATCTGATCTACAATTGTGGCTAGTAGCAGTGCATCAAGACATGGCATGGTAGCGGATAAAGTACAGTATTACCACTGAACAATACCACAATGGGAACTATTAAATTTATTTACAAGACAATTAACCTCTCCATGCTGTGCGGTCTTTCGTAGCCTCTCTCGACAGACTACAGAACAATACTGTACCTATGCATAGCTATTTTTATTTTATATATACAGTACTATCCAGTATCTCTTTTATGTCTTATTTTAGCTTTAATTTGTTCTCTCTTACTTCACCATTGGTGTGATCTCTAACTCCATTTTCCCCATAATGTTTAAGTACATATTAACCTCTGCAGTTATAACATTCACACCAGTTTCATGAATCTTAACTGCTGTTTCATTTTCTATCTGATCATCTCAAATAGTCCAGAATTTCAAGGGGTTTACTGTATTTTAATTTATAAATTTAATATTCAGAAAACAGTACAGTACCACCATTACATTTTTTTATACAGGTAAAAATGTAAATAATGTAGTATAAAAGGGGTCCTGTATTATTTGTATGTACTGTGCTGTGTTGTATAAACTTACTATTACAGTACAGTACAAGACAGTACAGTACTGTATATAAAACATAGATGTAAATTTTTATGATCGCTAAAATATTTTTTCATCTGCAGTAATTTCTTGAGAAATATATAAATTTTTTCTTTACACAAATGTTTATCATATATGAAATTTGTCAAATAAGATTTTAAAAAATTCCACTATTATTAGCAACTGAAACCTTTCCTTCAGGGAGCAAGAGATAGATTCTCAGGTGTTACAATATCATCTGAGGAAGAACCAGCATCTCCACAGGAATTTGAAGCCGTTCTGCAGGGTATGTTTACATCTTAATACTGTACATCCTTAGGTTGTGCCCTGAACTAGGTAGCTCTCATTACTCAAGCTGCTTACAGAGACTGGGATCTACCTACCATACCTCATAATGCAAACCAGGGTAATTTATTAACCCCTTTCGGGTATGTCAGTTTCCCCATCCTACTGATCATGCCAAGAGTGTTCTCTATCTAATGTGTGTAGGTATGGTATTTCTTTTCTTCCTATGTGGCTGAGTTTGTCCTTGATCCATGACCTTGGAGACAATTTCACCTGGCTCATCTCAGTAGGATTATAATGTCTACTGATTCTTTGGATACTGACACCTTCTTTCCCAGAGGGTTCATGATAACACTGCACAACTGTATAGTAATGGAGAGGCTGGGAATCAAAATCTAGACTTAATTGATGACAACAGCACAAGGTCACCTCTCTTAAGAAGAGTTTATGTCTGTCTAATCCCTGGAACTATTGTACCACCTCCTCCAGCTTGTCTAGCTGGCTTTTGCTTAGGAGTGTTACCTGGATAACAGTGCTAGAAATAAAGATTTGATCCTTGATTCGTATTTTGTAGTAGAGCCTTTGGCCAGGCTGTTCACATCCCCTCCCACTGTTTTTGGGTTAGTGGATCAGTTAGCTAGAAATAAATTGTGAGTGATAGACTGGTCTTTGCTTCTAAATATGGTTGATGTAGCTATGGCTTAGAGCATGCTGATGGGAAAAGGTTTGCCTTGCAGGTGAACTTGTAACCTTTATAGAGCAACTGTTGCACATAGTTCCTCTTCATGTCAGGTGGGTGGTGTAATTGGAAGGGAAGGGAGATTGATATACCCATAGGGGTTAATAAATCACCTTGACTTCCATTGAAGGGCGTGGGGGGGAGGGGGGGCAAAAGGCAGATCCTTATTTCCCAGTCAGCTGCATTGTAAGAGTAAGAGCCACCTGGCTACTGGTTCAGTTCAAAAATAAGATTTCAGGTTCAGTCCTTCATCTTAATGGCTTGTTTTCTCTAGGAATTGAGGGGAAGCCACAGACAGTACGGGTGCAATCTTCTGCAAATATTTCAGCCACTGGCTCTGCCAGGATTTATCATATACTATTGAAAGAGTGCCTTCTACAGTACTGAAGTCCTAGCTATTGTTTGCTTTGCACAATGAAATAAAAGTTTACTCATCTATATACTGCATTAAAAAAGAATTCTATTGTACTGTATCAATAAATCATGTGTGACATAAACCTGTACTTCTCTCCCTCACCTTGGGCCTGACTCTTAGACTATGCAGGCATCATAACTTGGTGTCTTCAACTTTTAAGAGGGAGCCTTCTGCTTCACATCTGTTTAAGAAACTTGATTATCTCATATACCAAACCAGTGACTTCCTCCCCCACACACAGCCTCGATGAGCCACTGGATGGAGGAAAACATCCGTGGTGTTTGGTTTAAGGTTGACCTCGAGCATGCAGACTGGGTACCTGTTTTGGTTAAGGTCAGTTTCAATTAACTGTGATTTTGTCAACTATGGAAGAAAATTACAGATGTAAATGTAACAACAGCCTTTTGTTAGGGTGAATGTTTGGTGTATCATAGAGTGTTAAAGATGCTTTTGTTCATATATGACGATGATCATTGTTACTGTTTTGTGCCTATACAGTTCTGTAATGTTTATATTTAGGGATGTAAATGAAGGAAATTATAAACAACATTTATATCTAGTCCAGAAGACTTAAAATTTGTCTTACCTGTACCCTGAAAATGCTTTTACTTAACAAATCTTTCACCATAAGGGGTATTACTGTTGGGCATAACACTGTATAGCATTAAGGTATGTACTGTACCCACCTCTACTGTAAATATTTATGTGATAAGAAAGTGTGAGGCCACTTTACATTTGTTTGATATTGTATTTAATTATTTTTCTAAACATTTTCTTTTTCTCAATGATTGGTATTGCAGCATGGGTTCATATACCACCATGCCCAGCCACAGTTTGTGATGATGGTGAAGTGGTTGTCAGTCAATGAGCCAAATAATATTCCCAGGTGAGGATAATTTTCTTGTTTAATACTGTAGTGTAATATTGTACTGCACATACAGGTACTGTGTATATATATACTTTGGGATCTCCTGCAGGTTCACTCCCTCTCCCCAGCCAGATTATTTTGCCAAATGATTAAACACCCTAACATTGCCTGGGGAGGTTAGATTATGTTAGATTAAATTAGGTTTGGTTAACATTAGGTTAAGGTAAGCTAGGTTAGTGTTAGGGTGGTTAATCTTAAGGTGAAAGAAGCTGGAGAGTGAATCTTCAAATGATCCTATTCTGTACATAGACCGTCACCAAAGAACAAAGTCAAGTTCCCTCGGGTCATTTTCTTTTGTGAGTCCTTATTCTTCTTGTTTTAAAAAATTGGGCTTCCTTTCTTATGTTTAGGATGTCATCAACAAGAAATGGTTTCCTATGGAATTGTTCTCTTAACAAAATAAATTACCTAAAGGTCCAAAGAATTCAATATAAAGTCATCCAAACAGCTTTTAGGCAACTATTCTGTGTACCAGAAAGTTTCAAGAGTTACTAAAACAATAAAACTTAAGACATGAGAACATGCTGAGAGGCATTATCTGTACGAGACACTCCGTTGTGTAGAGATGATGTAAGACCCAAAATGGAATCAACTAAGATAATGGGATAAGAGTTTATAGATGTTAGCCCAAAAGGTTACATGCATAAGTAGTAATCTGCCTTTCTCCTATTTTAGGGTGCACAGTTGCAATAGCACTTGGAGCTCACAGTTGCCACCATCTGTAGCTGGCTTTAGATACCTGAGTCATGTAAGCCAGGCATAAGGCTATAAATGTGGGATTGATTCTGAATTCCCATTTTATAGCCGAGCTCAGATATGGCATCTCATTTTGCTCCCTTGTACAGTATTTATAAGGACTGGAACTGAGGTGGCTGACTTGGAAATGGTACTCTTAGGTGTCTGACTTGGAAATGGTACTCTTAGGTGTCTGACTTGGAAATAGTACTCTTTCGATAAAGAGGGACATAAAACACATTAGTACAAGCTCATTGTTTTTAGACCTTTGTTTACCAATTGTATCCATTAATTTCATTTTAGATATCCAGATATGATGGGAAGCATAAACAATTTTTCAGAAGGAAAGAAATGTAAAAGTTTTGAACTACAAACACAGTGCTGCTAACTGTATATGCCATAGAGACTAATTTACTTAAATAGCACAGCTGCCCTTCAGACAACAGCATTTCACTCATGTTGTATTATTTACAGGTATGCTCATAATGTAGTGGGGGTCGGTGCTTTTGTGGTCAATGATCAGGACGAGTTACTGGTTGTCCGAGAGAGATTCCACACTCGTCCACATTGGAAGCTGCCTGGAGGATATGTTGAGCCAGGTATGGAAGATTAGCAACTGAGGAAATGGGAATGAAATTTAAATTTACCAAATTGTACAGTCACTGACAAAATACGTACTGCTCTTGACATGTCTGGCATCATGTGAGAAAACACAGACAACATAAACATATATAAAGGCCAAAAATCATGCAGATAACTAACACTTTGGTGTGCCTTGCATTATAGACATGGGATAGGAGACTGAAACATTGTGACATGAACTGAATGCCTGAGTACAGTAGTGCTACCAGACGTGTCGAGAGTATTTTGTCAGCGACTTTACATTTAACTTTTTAGATCTTGATGTTATGTTTTTGATATTCCAGCTAATGAAATTGTAGGCCCCACAGTGCCAGCTAAAGGAATCATTTGGTTATTTAATTGTCCTCAGAATTTTACTTTTCTTTGGGAGTGTTGCTTTGCTGAATTACTGTATAGTAGTATTTGATATTTGTACAGGTACAGATAGATTGTGTTTAGAAAGTGCAGTGTAAGTATGGCCACATATTTTATGAAAAGTTCTATTATATCAACTGATACCCCCCTGTATACTGTACTGTACAGTGGTATCTCCCTGAGCCAGAACTCTTCTGGGAATGAGAGATTTCTGGGTATTGAAATGAATTTCTCATACCAGGAAAAAATCTCACATTTTTGGAATTTTTCTGGGTTTTGGGGTAAATTTTCCGAGTCTAAACTGAGCATCCCATACATACAGAAACAGAGCTGTATTTATTTATTTATATCACCACTGTACATGTACAGTACAAATATCCCCCTATTTACAATGGGTTACATCCCTGAAAAATCAATTGCAGGTCGAAATATCGTAAATCAGGATCATTATAACATGGGGTAATGGGATATGTTCCCAGCCAGTCCAACACCCACATGTATCACTGAAAATAAAATTCCTACCCTAATACTGTTCCTACAACACAATTAAACAACACTCACCACATCATTAAAAACAAGCCTGGTCATAATCACATGTCCCCTTTGAGGATAAGGGGACTCTTGAAAGTGGAGTGGAAACGTCACTGACTCCCACACAGCTTCACATTGTTAAGTTTCACCTCCAGAGACACAGTTTTCCCTGGGTGCTTTGGCCTTCCCAGACATTTTCAAAGTTACACTGCTCACTTCACAGTCACAAAAACAGAGTACAGTGTGAATGTTAGCGATGTCCTCTCACTGTAAGGTAGAAAAAGAAAAAAAAAAAGATGATAAGTAACAACACCGATACTGACTGTTTCTGGAAACGCAACCCCCACGTTAAGTGAGAAGGTAGTGTATCCAAATCTGTAGAATATGATTGACAAGTGTAACCAATTTAGACGGATTTATGAAGAAGTGGATGAGAGTCACTATGGTATTTTAGGGGGGAGGAAGGGCACCATTTTACAGTGGGGGAAGTCTAAGTCACATGAAGTAAATAATAGATAACTGACCTCCTCAAGTGTAAAACTGTATCCCCCCCTGCCCGCCCTCTCACAATACAGTGTCACAAATCCATTACAGGGGGTATTTCATTCAATGTGTGTTCAGGAAAAACGGCATTGATGTGACTTCTTGCAGGAATCGGTACTATTACATTCCAATTAAGAATGGAATATGGTTACTAAACAAATACAGGTATCCCATATTTAGTGTTAATTTGGTCTAAGGACAGCTTGACTCACTAGGAAGGGGAAAAAACTTGAAGTTAATCCAATCAAAGTTTTTGTTTGTGGCCAAACCAAGCACTAGGTAAACTCTTGAGCCCAATTGGCGTGGGGACGCTACCCGCGAGCTGTAATGGACTCGACTTCTGGAGACACTACCCATGGAATGTAATGGATTCGACCGCTGGCTCATGCAAAATGTTTTTTACCTGACAGCATTCAGCTGAATTTTCCCATGTTAGCCTGGCTCAACCCATATTCGAGCAAATCTTAGCCCCGTGTTAAGCGATACTGAGTAGTAATAAAAACAGTGTTTGAATGAATTTACATTGAACAAACCCATGTTAAGTGAGGGGGCAGTGTATAGATATAGAGATAGATGTTCCCTGTTGTTTACAAGATACAAGAGTGTGTTGATCTGGTTCTTTGAAGAGACTGTTTCATGCTCAGATTTTTGCTGTCACCCATAAGGTTACAGTGAATAGGTTTGTATTTAATACTGATAGTTTTAGCCACTATAATGGCATAGTATATTTGAAAATTTCTAATATTTTTTCAATCTCTATTCCAGGAGAGGATCTGGGTACAGCAGCCTTACGAGAAGTAAAAGAGGAAACTGGCATTGATGCAGAATTTGTTTCACTGGTGTCATTCCGTCATGTCCACGGTGCAAACTATAATTGCTCAGATATATATTTCATTGTCCATCTGCGTCCCATTACTCAAAGAATTACTATGTGCCAGAGAGAGTTAACAGCCTGTGAGTGGATGAAGGTTAGTTTGACAGCCCAAATTATCTGTTTTTATATTGTAATCTGCTCACATTTTTATGCAAATTGTCGTTTATTCTTAGTAATCAGTAGTCATGTAAAAACATTTTCTTAAACTAAACTCTTGATTTATCCAACTTTTATATCTGCTGGTTCTATGTATCCAGCTTGAGAGTAAGTCAGAGCTGCATGTACTACTGTATTGTGTAGTCTCTTCAAAAATGTTGGTGTTTGTTCCTTTATGATTGTTCTTAGGACATATCAGAATCCTCAAGAAGATATAGCAGCTGGTTAATTTTGTACAGGTAGTTAAATGGGGGCAATTAGGTTGTTTAATTCTGTTCCATCATGAATCTGTAAATTACATTTCCTGTTCTTTGTAATTGCATTCATTACATCATAATAATTTGTTTGTGGCTTTTCTCTTACATCACAACCTGTTCTTTGAATTGAACTTTAATCTGTTATCTTTATGAAGTGCATATTGTATTTTGGATGTGTGTGTGATGTTTGTGGCTTATCTTATCAATCCAGAGTCATTAAGATGACTTAGAGGACCTACAGCTGTGTGCTGGGGCTTCAGACATTTGATAACTACAAATAAGGACCGAGTTACAATGACTTTGTAATTTGGTAAGATGGTTGAACTTGTTTTATGTAGAAAGATTAATTCTGTGGCTGTTGTGATTTTTAGGAAAAGGGGTGACAATCTTTCCTAATGGCTGTAAATGGATATGCACAGGAAAAGATAATGTAAAAAGTTTTATATTTAACAAATAAAGAAAGCAGGGAGAGATCAGACATGTGTCACTGTCAAATTTGTTCACTGATGCATTTCCTTGCCAGAGACTGAAAATATTTTTAGCAGGATGATTTGAACTGACAGAGGTTATATCACACACCATGAAGCTGAGCATTCTACAGAGTGCTTGTTTGGGGTACAAATGAGTTTTGGTAGGCAGAGGTTCTCCAGGGTGGAATTACCACAGAAAAGTTGCATGGTGATGCAGCATGATGGAATGGGTAAGAGACTGTTTACATTAACTCTGGTCCAATAATACTGTATAGGGATTTTATTTTATTTTTCTCATGGGGGAGACCATAATAGTTTAGTAATTTTTTTGTTACCTGGTGTCAATCATATCCTTTGGAAATCTTTTTTTTTTTTTAATTGAGGGGTTCAGATCTGCAATATAGAGATAATCTACTGTTGTCACATATTTTAGCTTCTGTAAACAAACTTGACATGTTGAACCTCATGGACCAGGTTGGTTAACTTAACACAAGGTTATTCACTCGTACCTATCATAAAAATATACTTTAGAAGCAGCCACATTTTTTATCATTCATGTTACCCAAGCACATGCAACACTCCCCTTTCACATTTTTGTGCAGTAAATTAATGCTGGGTGAATGAGGGTATTGCATACCACAGTTTTAATTTTCAATCAAGCAGTGTACAGTATATTAATTTATGTAATATCTCATCCATTTCAGCTTCAAGAATATGTTCAGCATCCCTACGTTCATGAAACAAACAGGTTCTTTGCTGAAAGATTCCTCGAGTGTCGTAGAAATGGAGTTAAGATACAGGCAACCAATATCTTCAGTCCAGCATTTAGAAAAAATCAAGTAATATATAGCATCAACTCCAAGGTTGAAAAAGAGTCCATAAATGAAAAAGCTGAAAACTCATCAATAGACACACAGTCTCTCATGAATGGAGATGCAAAGCTGTAACATACAGTACTGTAATGGGTTGTTATGTCTTGAGCACACTGATTTGTTGTCTTTTTTTTTCGTCTTTGACACCGAGTTAGTCATTACGTGTGAAGAAGATTTTGCACAAAATGTTTTATCTGTTGAGTAAATTACTGTAAGTTTGAGATATGAAGTGAACTGATTTGTGTTCAGTTCTTCAACTAAACAAAACAGGTGACAAATTTCCAATCCTATAATGCCTTTACTTATCTGATGATAAAGGTTAAGTACTAGTACCTGTATGGTTGTGTGTGTGTGCATCTGAGCCATACTGTGTAAATCAGGTATGTGTGTGTATATGAGCCACTATGTAAGTCAAGAACATTTGTGTATCTGAGCCACTGTATGTCAGGCTCGGTCATATGCTCAGGGAATCCAGTTCTTAATTTTTTATGCACTAAACAATGCAAGGTAAGAGAGTAAACTGCAGTAATTGTCTACCTAAGTCAAGATTTTAATTGACTAAACTGTTATATATTTTTAGACCCATTAAAATACATTGGTGTTGAAGATGAATTGTTGTGTTGCTGTAAGTTTCCTGGAGTGGTTCAACTCAGGTTCTGTAAACTTTAGCCAGGTGAGTTTATTAAGATAATTTTAAGGTAAATATGATTTTATCTTTTGGTTTTCTCAGATCAGCTCTTATAATGTACTGTACAGAATAGTCTGCATTTACGCGATCAATTGAACCCGTGGAGGCCCGCGTAAAACGAGAAACGCATAAATGAAATAACAGAACATATGGGATTAATTGAAATAGAGACTGGGCCGACCCCCAAACTCCACTTTTTCCGACACAATACATACATTGTAGTAAAAGTAACATCTTAATTTTATGATGGTATGCACACACAATTAATAATTAAGAGAAATATCAATAATATTAGGTTTTTTAACACTTACGTTAGTAGAAAAGCTGGGTCAGCACACGTGGATGGCGGCTGGTTCCGAGGCAGAGGGCAGATTAGTTGCCCTCCGGAGAATCACTTTCACTACTCGCAGAGGTTTGCAGGGCCTCCCAGATAAACCCCTCAAAGTCCATATCCTCACTGTCACTATCACTGACTTGGGCTGGCTGTGGTTGCGGGCGAGGAAGTCCTCAATACTATGTTGACGACTAGCATTGATGTTGTCGAGATAGATCTGGATATACGGCTCCATAACTTTCGTCAGATGGTTATTAGACACTTCATACCGATGCTGGTCTGGGTCGTTGTCAAGGATGAGCTTGATTTTCTCCCCCAACTCGATGATTTCCTTCACATTATCATGGCTTGGTCCAGGTAATTCAGTGTTTATCTCTGGTGGTGGGGGTCCCACGGAAGCCATTTTGAGTTATGAGGGGAATAACGGGCACAAGAGAGAACTGTATACGCAGTTTGAGAACAATGAGACAGGCCCGGCTAGGTCAGTGACTTCTACCCTCTGGTGGCAGGGCACGTCATGTTACATTAGACCAATCACAGCTAGCGGCGGAGGGAATGCGTGGGTGGTAAGGATGCGTGGCCCAATCACAGTCCGATACGTCATATGACGTCATCGATAACATAAGAGCGACCTAATGCGCACCACTCACCACGCCGCTTCCCGCGTATGGTCAAGAATGGACAGTGTGGGTAAAAAATGGCGCGGCGGTCTGGACCTCTCCAGCCGCTCGCCGCGTAAATGGCCAAATTTACCGCGTAATTAAAGCATTTTCATTCTGGCAAGACACCGCGTAAATCCAGACTATACTGTACTGTAAAAGACCACAAAATAGTTGCATAATAAAATTGTATAATGTATACTGTATAATGGGAAATATATTTTTCACTGAGTGAAAATGCTAAAGGAAGGGTGTGGGCAATTGTTTTTCTTTATCTATAAAAAATACAGGGTATATGAAATTACAAGTTCCTTTATGTACCGGGAACTAAAAATATCATGGCGAATTGGCCAATTTACTTGCCTGCAATAATTTGTAATTGGATCCACTAATCAAAGATAGTTGTATTAAAGCTTAATGCCTTAGGCATTGTAAAACCAGAAGTGTAAGATTGATTGATCCTGAAATTCCTTTCATGGCTGAGCCAGGACCTAGGTGGCTCAAATATATGTACAGTATACAGAGGTATACTGTATTTTATAGCATATAAGACACTTTTTTTGTCTAAAAAAACTGCTTAAATCAGCCGAGTCCAATATGTGAAGTTGCGGTCTCCTGCAAGCTAATGTATCCCCCTGTTGCTGTCTCCTGTAGGCTGAATTCTACTTAACCCAACTCCGGAATTAAAAGCATATTACTGTATTGCTTATTTAAATACGTACATTATTATTATTTTTAAATAATTAAAAAATAAATTATTGTAAATATAAAAGGTCGATCGATAACTACTCTGTACTGTACTGATGACGATAACCTGAGATGAATAACGTCTGTACGGCAGGCACCCAACTCTTCAAAGGTAGCTAAGCAGTAACCATTTCTGAACTCTTACTAGCATTACAATCTATTAATGCCATACCTGCAACATTTATGTTTCAATCTACAAATACTTGATACAAATGAAGATTTACAGATAACTTTCTTTTCACATTTACAAATGTTAACATCACTGGCGGCATTGTAGCCAAGTTTGACTCGTCTCTATAACCAGGCTGCTGGGCCAAGCTGTTGTTTTTTCAACTCGTATTTTCATGTGGATATACGTAACTTTCTTCATTTAATTTTACTGACATACAGTACATACACATACCACCCTATGTACATACTGTGAAAAAAGTAAAAGAAATAATTATCCTAAGGGCAAACCCATAAAAGGAATAAACATTTCTTTGCACACGAGTTAGCTAGCTTAGTTGGGGAGCGGGAGGATGGCTGATGGTGGGGGGGAGCGTCGCCGTTACTATGGTAAAAAGGGATTACTGTATAGTACATGCAAATGGCGACTGTGTTAAACTTTCATTTGGCTTTTATTTACCGGTGTGGCAAGAGAGTATTTTTTTGGTAACTTATTTACTGTATTGGTATTACAGTATTTTTATTTATTCCTCACATTTACTTGTACTGTATACATGATTTTAAGAAAAATATAGATACAGGAGGAAAATACACACTAAAGTATTTTCCTAAATACTCCCTGCTAAAATGTGGGGGGCATTTTATATGCCCATACGTAAAATATACTGTACTGTAAAATACGGTACTCACTGAACCATCAGTCTAGGACCCAGGTAACTGTGACAGAAGTGGCTTGAACTGATCTAAACAATTAGTGAACCTCCACTTTAGCCCCAAAAGGGGCACAGGGTATTTAGAAGCTAAGGGTTATTCCTTGCATGTAATTTAGGTGGCTCATATAGGTCTTTGTCTTAATCCCAATATTTCTGGGAGAACTCCCACATTAAACTATGGGAAGAAGGATTTCTGAACTGCTTAGCTCAGTGATCAACCAAATAATGGGATTTCAGGATCAATCCTTCATTTATGGGTCAGCTACCCTTCACTGTACGGCTCGAGTCTGTAAAGTTAACAACAAATTGGAGGACATGGTAGCAAGTCTCAATTGCTAATGTGACAAAGCACTCCAAATGAGAAATTAGTCCTACTTTTAAACACATTATTATTGGGAACAAGGATAATATTGAGAACTTCTTACCCTACTCCTACCCCACAATCCAGCAGAATAGTTTCCTTGTTCACAATGTACAAAGTGAGGACCAGGGGGGAAATGGTTATACTGTACTTACTAGTCTTATTGCTTTCATAGTAATAAAATTGGGAAGGCAATGGTAGCACATATTTTAATGACTTGCATTTTTAAGAGGTGCTATGACATGGCTCAATGAATGGTTCTTATCCAATTTACAGGTACTCCTCGACTTACGACCTACTTGACTTATGACGACCCGGACATATGACCGCCGCAGTCGTATAAAATATTTTTCAAATTACGTATTTTCTAGTACCGAAGTTAGTGATTGCGCTGTGTACTGACAACATTTTCGTTTGTAATTCTCTTTAAAATGGCTGGCAAGCGTAAAAGTGAGAGTTCTCGTGGTGCTGAGAAGAAAAAGAACCCATTTTAGAATTTCTATGTATTATTTTCGCATTTTCGACTTACGACCTGGTCGTCGGTACGGAACCCCGTCATAAGTCGGGGAGAGACTGTATGAGAAGAAAAGGGGGGGGGGGGCTATTTCTTTTAGAAAGGTTTTATGAATGTTTTTTTGGAAAAAAAAAATTCTTTGTTAATTTTGTTAGAATTTTAAGTGAATGTTAATTTTGTTAGAATTATAAGTGAATTTGATGCAATCTAACCCATTTTGTGAATGTCAATCAGTGAACTTGAGAGGTTCTGAGATAATCACTTACCTGCAGACAGTGTTAGTGGCTAGTTACACCACCAGTTCAATGTGAGGTGTGGCTGTGAGTGAACCGGGCAACTTTGAAGCCTAGGATACTTGTGTGGCTCACTCAGAAGATGTGTAATGACACTGCTTGCCTACCTCTGCCTTCTATGGTCTGTGTAGGAAAATTTTTGTTTTACAAATACCCATTTTAGGGTTATACTGTAGTTGCTATAAGGAGTTTATTATTCCTTTAAATTAGTTCCAACTCCTAATACTGTCCCAGGGTCCTTGGAAGCTAGACTGGTGACTTAATGAGTGAATATACTTGAGACTTGAGCTGGCTACTGAAGGGCAGCTGGCTATAAAAATATTTGGCAGTCATGGGTGTCGCAACAAAAGATCTGGATTTCTTGCAAATACTTGCTGATTAGTGAAAGTACTTGCATAATAGAAGCTTTCTTTTATTACCTGTATATGGAAAACTGCAATTATTTTTTATCAGTGAATTTGAGTAATGTATTTACAGTACATGAGCACAAGACTGGGAAAAGACTTAACTTTAGGGAAGAGGGAAATATCATTTCTTTTCCCCTACCAATTGATAATCATATTCAGTCATTTAGTTGCAATTAGTGAATACTTCACTATGAATTATGATTACAGCATGATGGAGAGGCCTGTCAGTATATGCTTACAGTATACCCTATACTTTAAATATCTTTTGATTTGAAATATATGACATAAATAATTTAAATGATGCACCACATAAGTGTACAGAATAATTAAGTAATCTTGACTATTTAAAACCCTCCATATAAGAAGTACTGATACCTTTGTTAGTCAGCTGTATGAACTCCCATCCTGACTAGCTGACCCACTGAATGAATTTTTCTCCCATGCCCATAGCCTGGGCTTCTCACTGCACACCTACAGTAGTCTGTGTCCTCACTTATGCAGGTTATGGTTAATTCTTGATAACTTGTTTATCTCCCTCTCACTGTAGTAAAAAAGGAGAATAGAATGTATAATATAGATAAATAAAAAGATATTTATATGAATTATAATGACTTACAAGTTTCAGATGTATGAATATTGTACAGTAATTCTTGTATCTTTCAGCGAGTAATGTAAATATGATAATTTATTTTACTTTTCATGTCATCACAATCTTTTGGGAACATTTGTGAAGGAAGTGATGAAAATTAGACAAAAAATTATATACTGTAATGTACTGTATAATAATTTGTGGAAAGAAGATTAGATTAAAGATAATACAGTAAGCTTCACTTAATTTAACTGTTATACCTGTATAGGTGAAAGTGATGTACTGTACTGCACCATATCTATGTACTTATTAGTTACTTACTTACAGTGGTGGGCACAGCTAAACGAAAAGTTAGCTTCGCTAACCGCTAACTAAAAAGTTAACTTCACTAACGCTAAACAGCTAAAAAAAATTAGCGGAAGCTAATGCTAACCGCTAACTTTTATTATATGAATTTAGCTTTGTTT